CTGCTGAATTGGAATGTAAAGTTAGTGAAGCTCAACGTGGAAAAAAAACCAGGTAAGTGATAAACTTTTAAAAATATGCTGATTAATCAGGTCTTAGAGGGTTCTTTCTGCAACAGATTTTACAGTATCAGTCACTTTTTAATAAAATGGGAAAATTGTTCCACATCTACTTTAAAGAAGAATTTTGGGATGTCTCTGTTTGTTTCTGTTCCCCCCATCTTGATCTTTTTTATCCTGGAAGTTTCTCTTAGGTTGGAAGGCATCCCTACTGTGTCTTAGCTGACACCATCTTTACAACCAGACTGATGACACAATAAGAAAAAAACATGGCATTTACATTCCAGGTTAAAGTGTTTTTTGTCAGTATCTGCTTGAACAACCAAAAAATGGTTGCCTGGCTAAAAATATGTAGCTCTTTGTTATGAGTTTTTGTAGTAGTAGTAGGAAAGACATTTTGCTATTTCAGTGGTTTGTTTCTTTGTGTTTTGGGGTTTTTTTGGTGTTTGTTGGTTTGTTTTGCATTTTAAAAAAGAGCCCTAAAACATTTCAGCATTCCTTGCATCATGTTGGTTCTCAAAAATGCACAGAAGCACTGGGGTTTTAGTGCTTATGTTTCGCCCTGAAGAAGAAATTGATTTCATGTCCCCACTGAAAAGGGCAGAAGGACTTATGGGATGTGTGTGTGTTTTTACCATCTAGTAAATCTTTTACATCATGGGCACAGAAGTTGAAACAAAACCAACCAAAAAGAACAAATGCTGAAGAAGTGTGTGTGAACTCTATGCAAGAAAATGAGCAAGCAAAGAAAGTACCACTTGAGAATGTAAGTTTCTTTTTATTATATTCTTCTAATTTTATTCTTCTTACAAGGATTTTTTCAGTGTTTAAGTATGTTATGGTTCAGCATGTGCTTTGGTGCTTGGCTTTAAACTTCTGAGTGGTGGTGTTGCCATTCATACATTTAAAATTAATGCAGGCAGAGTTTAATTCTTGGATTGTTCTATATTCTAGATTCTATTCTTATATTCTGTATTTACACTTACATTCATATTATAATTCATACATATTATATACTTCACACTCATGTAGCTATTTTATTTCTTCTATTCCCTGCCTAATTTTTGTCTTAATTTACCCAAATGACACACATTCTTTCCTCATAGAGGTAATAATTCTCAACTGAAGCTTCTTTTGCCTTGTCATTTTTGGAAGGATCTTTGATTTCAGCTGGTAATGTCTCTCTTAGTACACAGAACTCTCTGCACCTGGAGCCATTAGCTACGTTGTGCAGGACAGACAGTAATTCTTCCAGATTTGGATTTTTAAGTTGCAGGGAGTTTCTGGTTTAGTTTGGCTTGGGCTTTTTTAGTGTTCTTAGCAGTCTCTTATGCTAAAATCCATACTTTTGTTTTGCTATTGCTTATGTAAAAGTGCTATATTATTTGTTTATGCCTGTGAATGACAATGATTTGGCTAAATTGATCTAGTTACTAAAAGTAACCAACCCCCACAGTAGATAGTTAGGAAACCTAATTGGCTCTTTAGAACCATTTGTGGTAACGCCATTGCTGTGACTGCTGAATCAGTTCAAAATACTTATTTTGGGAAGAATTTGGTTTGTCCTCCATATTCTTGAGTTAGTAATTATGAATGTCCACAAATTTTATTATTTTGGGAAGTTTAATGTTGTGTAATCTTTCTGATCCAAAAGGATGATGTGCAACATAATGATATGAGTGATCACACATAACTGTGAAGTTTTAGAATTACTTTTAGTATATAAATTATAAACAACTTTCTCCTTATGCTGTTTTAAGGAAGTAATTCCTGAAACTGTGAATGACTCCACCTACATGAGAATAGGAGAACTAGCAAGTATGAATTATTGATCCAAAGCAGGGTCTGTTTTCTTTCCTGTGGTCACTTTAAGGGTGATGCAGGAAGGGTAAGAGTAGGTGTTTGGCCTTCTCCAGTCTTCTATTGTCAGTGGAAACAAAATGTTACTCTTAAGGGATTTTTCAAACCAGGAGTTGAATTTATCTGCTGTGAATTCTCACTTTTCTCTCTCAGCCTTTGAAAGTACCTTTATCTTTCTGTTTCTTTGTAAGAATTCAGTTGATACCCCTTCCTTTTCCTTTCTTCCTCCTTAGGCAAAGGAGAATACCTAAATAAAAACATTAAGAGGGACAAAATAGCCTTGAGGTGAGATGGTACTTCATGCGAAAACTTGAAAAGCTTTAGTGCTGATTTTTTTTTTACTTTGTTACTTTTGTTAACTCCATGGTTACTATCCAGTTTTACTCCTCAGTTGTATGAGCTGTATAAATGTCCTGAGTAGCATGACTGTTCAGGTGCTGTAACAAAAAGCCCAAAGTACAGTAAGAAGGAGCTATGTGAGATGATCATTTCACAGCTGAGCTGCTCTTATATTAAGTGTCACATCAATTGCACTTCTTTTATTAAGGAAGAAGAGAGTTGTAGCAAATCTTGACTTCTGAGATTTTAATATTTTTTTCCACGTGTTGGTCCTGCCAGACAGAGTTGTTCCTATAATTAGCTGGGGAGATTGCTTAGAAAGTTTGGAGTGATGAGAAGAAGGGAATTAGCTGGGGAGGGACTTTTGACAAGGGCTTGCAGTGACAAGACAAAGGGGAATGGCTTTAAACTGGAAGAAGGGAGATTTAGGTTGGACAGTAGGAGGAAATTCTCAACTATGAGGGTGGTAGACACTGGGCCCAGGTTGCCCAGGGAACTTATGGAAGCCCCATCCCTGGAAGTGTTGAAGGGCAGGTTGGATGGGGCTTGGAGCAACCTGGTCTGGTGGGAGATGTCCCTGCCCATGCAGGGGGTTGGAACTAGATGAACATTTGAAGGTCCCTTCCAACCCAAACCATTCTATGAATCTGTGAATGTAGTATCCTGTCTAAGATGATAGTGTTTATCTCTGGATTTTTGAGGTAGATGGAGTCATAACAGCTGAATATAGGAAATTCCAATCTTTGGATGAGGAAAGACTGACACTTTATTGGTAGGTCATCCCTCTTAAGGAGCAAGAAAGTTTACTTGACTGTCCAAAATGTGTATTTTTGTAGCAGTTAATCTCAAAAATGCTCCACATGTGGACAGGCATGTGACTTAGAAAACATCAGTATCTTTTAATTATGTGGTTTAGCTTAGTTCCCCTTAGGCTGTAATTGCCCTGAATATTAATTGTATAGCTTTGGATCATGCTGTGTAATTAAATTTCATCTCTTTGCTTAAAAAGGCTAATAACATTTACATGCAATATTTTAAAAATTGTACCCTTAATATTTTTTTTCCCCTTGCTTTGTGATTTTCCTTATAAATTTCTTCTCCCTTTGTAATTTTAGACAAACCTTACAGATGCTGCTTTGCCACCTTACACTTTTTACCTCAATCAACCAAAGGAAAGTCCAAGTTCCATAGTGTCTGAAGCTTCAGGTAGAGTTATTTTCTTGTGCTTCCATCTTTTCTCTTGAATTCCTGTTTTTTAAAACTCTTAAAGGAATGCATTGCCAAGAACATTGAGGAGGTGAGGAGGGTTTGAGAACAGATAAGCTATTAAACTTTGATACAGCATAATTCTGCTTTTCTTGCTCTTGCATTTCTACTGATCACAGGTCCTGCATGTCACTGCTGACAGATGTAGGACATGCAGCAGTTTTCTTTTTCTTCTGATTTCTCACCATTTCAAAGCTGAGCTTTATTTTTAAAACTGTTTCAGTAATGTAATTACTGTTAAAATCATGGTGGGGTAGCAAATGGTCTTTCAAATATTAGCATCAGTGGTCTAGTAATCCCAGGAGTGTGTGGTCCTAGAGGCAGAATTCCTGTAAGCCAGGGGCATGATTAAATAATTGTGTGAATAGGCAAGAACAAAACAATGCAGTGTGTGTTTTTTAACGTAGTGGGGAGGGTGGGGGTTGCTTTTTTGTGTTTGGGTATGGTTTGACTTTTGTTGGGATGTGGTGGTGGGTTTTGGGGGTGTTGGATGGTGTTGTTTCTTTGTATTTGTGGAAGGCAAATAACAAATTCACATATTTGATTGTATAGGGTGGATTAATTTCAGTAACAAAAGGGGGGACAGAGATGCAGCCCTACAAACTGTGAATATTTATTCCTTCTTCACAAGCCACTGAGAGGGGGATGCATAAGAAATGGAAGTGGGATTGAGACTGTGTGTATTCCTCTTGTGCCATCTCTCTCAGACGTGGCAGTCTGTTTGCATGCTGCAGTGCTGTGGAGAACCAAACCAAAGAGCTGTAGTATCAAGCAGCTGTCTAAGATGAATTCTTTTGGGTGTGACAAGTTATTGGTGCTATACTGAAATCATAACAGTTTGTGGTAAATGAGGATTGGTTTCTTCAACACCAAAGACTAAACCTCTTTTTTTCAGTGAGGTACAGATTTTCTTGCTATATGATGTGATACTGATTATGTTGCCTGTGATTGACATGGAGGTTTTTGTAACTCCTGGTAACAGATGCATTAGTGAAATCCTTAAGCAATAGGTCCAAACAATTAATATTCTTGTTAACTGACAAAGCAGCATCTTACTAATGGATTTTGGGATTCCTGTTTTGTATCCATGACCTTGACATTTGTAATTTTTTTTTTTCCTTTCTTTGTTTTTTTTCTTACCAGGACTTTCATACTGGAAGCTAGAGGACAAGGAGATGTATCACTCCTTACCAGAGAATTTCAGAAGCAAGTTTGCTGATGTTTTCTCCACAAAAGTATCATCAGATCAGGTAAACTTTGTTTGTGTGCTAAGAGTTGTCTTACAGTTGCTTGTCATCTTGGCTTTTTTCTACAATGAAAAGAGCCAACCCCCCAGAAGCTAACATTTTTGTGAGAACTGCTTTTGTTAGCTCAGTTTCTCCTATTCTGTTTTTTCATTGTTCATTTACTTCCAATAACAGTTTGAAATTTATTGACCTTTGTAATTGGTAAGAAATTGTGTGTATAGGAGATTAAAGAGAGACTAACTACTATATTGAAGATGTTTGTGCATCATTAGAGACCCTTTTTAAAAATGTATGCTTTGAATGAAATCCTCTTGTGTTCTAAACTGATTTATAAGCTAAACCCACCCGATAGCTTGTTTATCTATATTGGAGCTGGAGGATTGTGCTCAGGTAAACTAATATAGCAATTTCTCCTGTTGAAGTTGTCTTCTGCTGATGAAACAAAGCTATCATCATTGAAGGATATCTATCATAAAAGACAAAGGGAAAACAAGCAGCTGCCAGACCAGAATTTTATGCCTTCTTCCCTGTCAACTCATCCACCAGAGGTAAGATTTCTCTACTTCAGTGTCAGTCTGAAGCTAGGATGGGTTGGTTACAGGCTGGTTGCACATTAATTGGCCCCTGCTGCCACCTCCAGTGTGATGCTGCAACAGCAATTGTGGAGCCGTGTGATGAACAGCTTGGGAAGGGATCCAGCTGAAAAGAACCCTTAAAGAGTGTCCTGGGTGAGCAAGCTCCTCCAGCACTACCTTGAGGATGGTGCAGGGACCAATCTGCCTGTGCTGGGGCTGCAGCTGATCAAGTGCACGTGGAACTGCAGGGTTTTCTGACTCCTTCCCACAGGACAAGGTCATTCCATCTGTGAAAAAAAAGAGGCACAGATTTTGGAAAAACTATTTCTCATATCTTATTTCTTTAAACAGCTTTCAGTATTGTACAGAATGCAGTAACAATGTCTACCACTTTGTATAATTCATGAAGTGATTTTTGTAACTGTACAAAGTTGTTTCAATCTACAAGCAGACATTATAGTTCTTCTGTTTAATGAAATTTCAGAGGCTTTCTAAACCGCTACAGATGTTGGGTAGGTCTTTTATTTTAATGGAAGCTTAGAAATATGGGAATATGTATAATAATCTAAACTCTCTTACAGGTCCCTTCTTGCTTGACACTACTAAGTGATTGTAGTAATATTCAATATCATTCCTGCAATGTATTACATAGATTACTAATGTCTTCAGATAAACTCTGTTTACAAGAATATTGTAACTTCTTGCCTAGGTCTTGACATTGGACCCAACCCTACACGTGAAGCCAGGTCAGCAGAACCCAGGATACTGTTTTTTCAATATTCCTGAGGAGATGACTCCTTTTTCTCCAGACTCCATGGCAGAGCCCGGATTTTCAAGTCATTGTGACACAGACTCTTTTTCACAGACAAGCAATTCATCTCGGTTGCACGAGTCTCCAAAATACCCTGCCAGCAGCAGAGCTGTGCTTTTGGATCCCTGGAGAAATCACCCATTCCAAAATGAAAACAAGACCAGCTGTCCCTTTCCAATGGCATATATGGATGCTAATAATGATAATTTAGTCAACACTGAGGAGGAAGACACCCTGACTCTGACTCCATCTTCTGTTACTCAGTGTGCTGACAACAGTGTGCCAGAATACAGTCTTTCAGTGACATCTGTTGAAGATCCTGTGATAATGTCAAAGTAAGTAATTCTCGTTTTTTAAAGAGAGCTGGTACTTTCATGGAAGAAATGAAACTTACCAATACTGGAAAAATGAACAAAATATGAGACTTCTCTTTGCTTAGAAAGCAGCAGCACATTGCTGTTTTTTTTTCCCCTCTCTTTTTTCTTCTTTTTTCTCCCCTGAAGTACAGATGGTATATAAATAGAACAGTCATTTTTCCACAGTCTTTCTTTAGATGATAACATTTAATCTTCTTTAGACCATACTATTTAATCTAAGGCACAGTATTTGTGCTCTTTCTTGGTTGTCAAAGCTTTAACTAGAAAGCAAAACAATTTCCTATATTTTAGTGCTTTGGTTATTTCTGTTTACACATGAAATAAAAATACACACTTCCTTCCTAGGTTGTAGGGAGTTAATTTAGGCACAGAATTTCAAAGTTCTGTAGGGCTTATGATTTCCTATTTGGAGTAAAATGGTGGAAGAAGCACAGAATTACTGTACTTAAGAAATATAGCTCCCATTTGCTGTTGAAACTTTTAGGATTTGCACGTGGATAAGCAAATATGGGAGATACTCCATGTGTAAGTAGGGGTCATGGATTCAAGATAATCAGTGTTTGGGTTTCCCTATTTTAATTTTACATGCCTGGTTTCAAGTGCAGAGCAAGGGAGAGAAGAAAAGGTAAAGCTTTGTGTTGTATTTGTATATATTGTTAATATTTGTATTAATGTGAAGACTTCTATGCCAGCCTTGTGTGTCTGACACCTCTGCCTTAGGTGACGAGGCTTTCTCTGCTTTGATATGAATGCCACAAAGTTCTGTAAAAGAGATTATATTTGCTGAGTTCATGGTGGGTGAATGATACAGCAATGCATTCTCATGTGGAGAGCTGGATGTTTTTCTGTTGTTCTTAATTTTGAAAATAGCATTAGGCAGAACTTGAGGGAAAAACATGCTCGACACGTAGCTGATCTACGAGCTTACTATGACTCTGAGATCCAGAGCTTGAAACAGCAGCTTGAGGCAAGCCATAAAACTGCTTCATCTGAAGACTTGAAGAACATCAATCAAAGTCTTGTTGACAGGTACTGTTTGTCCTTACTTGTTCTCTTCCTCTGTGACCTGGTATTCTTTCTGCTTTAAAACAGAGCATGTTTGTTTAGAATATCTTGAAAAGTTTATGTTGCTGTTCAATTCTGTATATTTCATGCATCTGTAGTACTAATATTTTCCTATCAAATATAAATTTGGTGTTATTTAATGCAGCTGTTTAAGATCAGTTTAAAATTACTGTTAGGCAGCAAGGATGATGTTTGGACCAGAGGTCTTGTGTGACCTGATGTTTGCTGAAGCCAGTGTTGTTTTGCTCAGGAATGGCTGGCAGGCAGAGGTTGTCCTCAGCAATTTGTGAGGGAACTATCTGTGTTGTAAGGCAGCGCTCACCAGTCATGCTGGTGATCATGATCCCTCTTTACCATTCATGTTAAAACTGTGGATGATACAGAAGCAGTTTGGAATTCATTGGTAGCCTTATAAAGCCCATTTTGCAGTCGATGCTCTTTGAGCAGGTGTTGCTGCTGGAGGCTGTGCCTCACCTATATACTCCAGTTGTAGCTTATGATACAACTTCAGTCATTAATTATCACACAGAATGAGCAGTTAGCTGAAGTGGATCTCTGCTCTGGTGCATCTCAGCTGCTTTTGTTTCTGCAGCTCTTGTGCTCTGAGCCCTCTGGTGTCTCTGCATGTTTGCTGCTTGCCCTTCCCAGCAGGGACACTGGGTGCTTGCTGCAGTGGCCAAAGCCTATGGGAGGAAGTCACAGGCTGGACACCAAAATTTGTGAGGGTGCTTGAGGAAGGAAAGAAGGCTATAAGATGTAGATTTATTATTTGGAAATTTAAAGAGGTTTCTTTTTTTGTGATCTGTGTGTTCTGAATAGGTGTGACCAATTAGATGCAGCTCTGAATGAAGCGAGTGCTCGCATAAAAGCCCTTGAAAATAAAAATAGTATGCTAGAAAAGCAAGTGGTAAGTGTCTGTCCTTAAATCAAGTTGCCTTTTAACTGAAAGAGTAAGACCATACACATGTTCATTATTAAGCTGATCTGTGTTTCCTTATCTTTTTATTTTCAACTTTGCTCAATATGTGACACCAGCCAAATGTTACACCAGTGCCTTTTCTAGTTGAGTTTTTTAGGACTCCCTACTTGAACCTTTTCAGGATAGAAGGGTTCAAACGAAGAGTGAAATATTGTGGTGTGTCTTTGACTTCTTATTAGAACTGACAAAGGCAAATCTCATCTGCGCTGGGGCAAGAGTATCTAGTTTTACATATATTACATATACAGTCTCTCTGGCTGGGTCAGACCAGTTTGCTCATGACTGTGGAGCTGCATTTTTTGGTCAAAGAACAGGACACTTGCATGACAAATTAAGCACCTGGAGATACTAATTCATTCCACCTTCTTTAGACATTTCTTTGCTGGGAAGCAAGACAATTAGCTGGAATTAGAGCCCTAACCTCTAGATATTAAGTCCTATAAAATAAACACATCTTTTTTAGTCTTCATTTTCATTTTTTATACATCACAGAAACGATAAAAAATCTTCTTTAGTCGATGTACAGATGTACCCTTGTTTTCTGTCAGGGTTATTTCAGATTCTGCTTTGTACTGAAATAAAAATCTGCAAGGTAACCACTGTAATAGATATGGTTTTTTCTCCTGCAGGCAGATTGGAGAGAACGTTTCTACACAGTCAGTGACACCTCCAAGGTTCTGCAGGAACGCCTGGAAGAAACACGCACGAGCAACAAGGAGAAGGACAACACCATCAGCCGGCTCAAATCGAGGCTTAGAGATCTGGAGGAAGCATTTGAGAAGGCTTACAAGTTGTCTGATAATAAAAATGCCAGGCTCAAGGAAGAAAACAAAATGTTTCAAAATGTAAGTAAGGAAATTGAGCAGTGGTGTTGGCAGATGCAGAGCATGGGATGAGCAGAGCAAGGCCTGGGAGTTTTGGAAAACAACTCCAAGTTTAAAGTGGTAAAGTCTTAATGTTAAACTAAGAGAACAGAAAATTATTCAGCTTACTTCTTCTTAGGCTAAGTTTTAGGTGATACTGCAGACCTAACAGATATTTAAAAACAATTATTTAAGGCAACAAGTGTGTACTTAATGTGGTAACACTTGTCATAGTCTGTCTCCGGCATTTTATTGCTCTACGTCCCATTACCTCATTTTATTTTTAGAGGTGTTGCAGCAAATTATTTTAGAAAATTATTTTTTCTGAAGCTTACTGGAGATGGACTGGATTTTTTTGCTAAGTCGTGACAACTTGCTAGAACTGTGATAGTATTATTTTAGACTGAATCAAAGGAATTGTTCCCTGATTCTTCAGTAATAGCTTTATGGAATGATTAAATGGATTGGCAAAATAGGTATTAGCTGGAAAAGCTACTTAGTTGCTATTAAGATTTCAAAAGACAAAGTCAGTTTTATAGTCAGTGAGGAATTTTAGCAGTTAATTCAGCTCCTTCAGTTTCTTCAGAGATAATTTGAAAATTAGAAATACATTGTTTAAGTTGCTCGTTTCCTCTTGTCCTGTCTATAATTTTTTGGTACCAATTAGAAGATGCTAGAACTTAACAAATACTGTTGAGCTACACTCTGTATCCCCTGTAGTGCTTCTGCATATGTTAGGCAAGCAATTTAGATGGTTTTACAGTAGTCAATAAAACTTTATTGTATATGTTCTCAGTGTGGGTTTGTGTTTGTTTTGTTTTAGCTTTTAGGAGAGTATGAGTCCCTTGGAAAAGAACATGAAAGAGTAAAGGTAAGTACAGGCTTGTTAATTAGAAACAAACATGCAAAATATGTGATAATGTGTTACAGAATCAACTGATTAACTTAAATATTTGGAAAAGATCAAACAGCTTCTTATTATGTTCAGAGCCCTGGAGGGAAAAAGGGTTTGGAATGTATAATTTCCAGTCATAGACAGCAAAAATACTGCAGAGTCAAAGCCAAAGAAATTTGATGGACCTCCCTTTCAAAAAGGAAGGTGTATTTAATTGATTGTTTTCAAGATTAATGTAGAATTAATCTTTCTTTAATAGACCTCTGTGGTTTCTGGGCTTTTTAACCTTTTTCCTTGTGTGCTTGTAGGATACGTTAAATGCAACTGAAAACAAATTACTTGATGCAAACACACAGATTTCGGATTTGAAAAGGTAAATGTGAAAGTCTCTTGATATTGTTTTAACAATATGAAATGCAGACTATGGCCTAAACATTTACTCCTAGAAGATCTTGTAAGTTTAATCACATCTTATGAAGCATTTCATGTTGCTTTATGTTACTTTGCACACACTGTAAAAATCTTGTTATTTTAGGAGATGTGGTTTTCTTTCTACTTCCTCAATCACATCTTCCAGTGTGATGTAATTAATTGCTTCCTGTGTCCAGCTCTGGAGCCCTAAGCATAGGAAAGACATGGAGCTGTTGGAGAGGGTCCAGAGAAGGGCCACAAAGATGATCAAAGGGCTGGAGCAGCTCTACTCTGGAGACAGGCTGAGGGAGTTGTGGCTGTTCAGCCTGGAGAGGAGAAGGCTCTAGGGAGACCTTAGAGCACCTTCCAGTGCCTGAAGGGGCTCCAGGAAAGCTGGAGAGGGGCTTTTCACCGGAGAGGGCAGTGATGGGACAAGGGGGAATGGTTTTAAACTGAAAGAG